GATCTCATCTCTCCTTCCATCCATCTCCAGGGCCCATACCAACTGTTCTCATATGATCACTTAGTCATTCTAGGCAACAAGGGCTTTTAGGACTAGGTAATGACCTGCTGGGTTCCTCACTGCCCAGAACTGGATTCTAGACCCTGCAGATGCATGGGGGCACCTGAGGTGCCCACACCATTGTGGGAGAAGCTGTGAGCATGAGATAACACCTAGATTCCAGGTGGCAGGCAGAGCAAGGGATAACTAAGCAGCCCACTCCGTGTCCTGGTTACCCTTCTACCCTCCTCTCCTCCTGCTGAGGCCTGCTCTCTTTACCTGAACCCTCAATGAGAGAACTAAAACACACACATGGGCCTGAGGGCCAGGAGGGCCTTCCACTCAGCTGTCAACTACACTGCATCTCGGATCATAGAGAGCGAACCCCTCTCATGCATCTCCAAGGTGCAGAGCCCACTGGCAGAGCTACTGCCCACAGTTAGCTCCAGTGGACACTCCCCAGCTACAACTTGCCAACTCTGCATACTGGGGACCTACAGCAGACCCTGACAGCTGAACTTGGAAGGACAGAAAGCCACCAAGCTCCTGGGCTAGTGTGAGTCTATCTGAACCCCTGCTTTCTACTCTAAGTCATCATACACACCTGAGTAGTACTTATCACACACCCCACACACACACACAGGCAAGAAGACCTATGCACAGCCCTATTAAATTTGGAGATACAAGACACCCAACAGGAGGCAGACTGAGGAGTTTGGTTCTTCTTGGAAACACAGCTGGTATATAGGTATATAAGAGATGGGTGAAGATGCAAAGGAGTTACCCAAGGCCCAAAGACATCATTTACTCCCAAATGCCTTTCTCCTATAGCCAGGCTTTTACGAGAATGTGTTAAGCTTTGGCTTCTGCTTCCTGTGGCTGGGACTGACCTTCTGTCACTTGCCTTGGAGCCAGCATTCATGGCTGACTTTCATTTCAGGGCTATTTTCTCAAGGAAAGAAACTGTCCTGCTGGCATTGCTGCTTTTAATCTCAAGAGTTTCAAGAGCAAGAGTCACATGGTGGGATACAGTGTGGTCAGGCCCTGGCCCGCAATGCCTGACTGTGCTGCCCAACATTATGTTTTTGAACTTTCAAGATTGCCCTCCAGCTGCCAAAGATGCTGCAGTAATGAGTACTGATGTCTGATGAACAAAATAATTCTTTACAGGCCGCTGGCAAACCTCTTGCCACTGACGGGCACTGACCCACTGTGAGCCAGGCTGTGCTCCCAACAGCACCCTCCCTCTCCTCTCCCCACCCCCCAGCCCCAGCCCTGGGTCACCCAGGCCTGACTCGGAGAGTCCCTTGACTGTAGGGCTCTGAGCATCCCTGGGAGCTTATGAGAGCCCGCTGGGGAAATATCTAGCCATATAGTTCAGTTTATAGAAATCAGGTGAGCATGAGACATAACATGGGCTTTTACAGTATGTAACTACAGCTCTTAAGAGAGAATGCAAGCAGCCTGGCATCAAGCAGAGGAAAATAATAACCTACAGAAGCCTGGCCCTCTCCGGGGGAAGCAAAGCTCCAAGGCCTGCTCCTCCTGTTCCAAGAAGTGTATGCTGGGTTTGCATCTGGCCACAGCATCTACCCTAGCTCTGCTCTGGCTTAGAAATGACCTGTGGGTGGGTGATATTAGTGCAACCTCTGGGCTGAGAGAGAACCCTGCCAGGAAGAGGACAGAGCTTGCCCCTTCTGTCACACATTCACACCACACGTCATCATGTTATCCTCTGTACAATCTGAAAATAATATCCACCTCACTGCTCACCCAACACACACATACACACACTCAACACACATATACAGCACAGACACACACACACACACACACACATTTGGAAGGAGCTAGGGAGGGAGGCCTTCCCAGCTCAGCATTCTCAAAGCTAAGCATCATTTGATATTAGAAACTCTCTGGGCTCCTAGGACCAACTACCATCCAAAGCGGTAACAGACCATCCACAAACAGCATCAAAGGATTCTGCAAGTTGCCTTGGAACCCAGAGCAGGAAGGCCCTTGGCCATCGTCTGCTGCCTGCCTTTTTAAGCAGAGCTGGGATTTCTCTAAGGAAGAGCCATGCCAGATGTCGAGGAGGGGCAGGGAAGGGATTTGCCCTCCCCACCACCTCCACATTCAGCAGTGACCTGACTGCATCTGCTCTACACAGTGAGTTTTAAAATGGCGTGTGTGTGTGTGTGTGTGTGTGTGTGTGTGTGTGTGTGTGTGTGTGTGTGTATGTGTTGTTGTTGTTGTTTTAAATGGATTTTTTTTTGAGGAATAAATTAGATAGTTTCATTTCAGTGAGAGTTTAAAAGGCAATCTCCTAGCCCCAGTCCACTAACGGTAGAGAACTGAAGGCACAGTAAAGGCTGTGGGCACTGAGTGGGGGTGGATCCAAGCGCCTTTGATCTACAAGGAAGCTGTCAAAGGTTTACATTTGCGGTTTCACCTATTGGCCACCTGGTGCCTGAGCCGGGCGACATGTGTACTTCTGTGTCCAGATGTCTCTGTGTCCAGATGTCTATGAAGAAAGACCTTAGAGGGTTGCTGACCACCAAGGTAGTGCATGGGAAGTGGGTTCTCCCTGTCCGAGGGCCACTAGCCAGCAGAGTGCCATCGTCAGCAGAGCTGTCCCTCCAAAACTGGGGGCTGTGGGCTGTGGTCATTTCAGCATCACTCTGAGGATCCAGGCAGCATTGGGACTGCACGGGCTGCTCCTGCCTTCACTGTTGCCCCAAGCAGCCTCGGAACGAAGCCTCTGCTTCACAGGTGCGACAGGCAAGGTTAGCTCTGCTGTGATGTTCCCACGTCAAGCAGCCTTCAGGGATATATGAAGATGCCACCACCCAGGCTACACAGATCTGCCCTGGTTCTCGAAGCCCTCGGTCTACATGCCTCATTGTACTTGATCAGATCAGAAATAATTAATGTAACCTCAAGTCTACTTCATATTGCACACCCAGGCCAGGGACTGACCCCCCCCCCCACTGGGTCCTCCTCTGACCCCATGGTACTCCAGCTTGGCAGGAAGTATATACTGGAGGCTAGCACTCGGCAGGAACACAACCCATCTTTCATGTTCTAGAGGGTTGCCCAAGGTGGGAGCATCCAAGCAGAGGTGACCTTGCCCTACCTGTGACCCTGGGACCTCTTGTAGAGGAAATATGGGGCAAACAATGGGCCATAAGTGGCTCAGGAAGCTCCTGCTCTTAGGGGAAGAAGCTCCAGCCCAGAGGAGCAACCATTCCTAACCCTTAGTCTGTTTCTCCCCCAAAATTCCCTCTGCATGCAGCAAACTAGAGAAGCTGGATTGGGCCAGCCTGCTTGGTAGCTGGCTGCCAGCTTGCCTTGCTGTATAGCCTGGGTAAACCATGCACCTACTAAAGCTGCAGTGACCACAGTGGACCCACCCGGTGGGCGGGGTGGAGACACCATATGCTCCAGTGTCACTGTCGAAGCAAGGGGTTAGGCACATTGATGAAGCTGCAGGAGATGCTGGATGCCATTATTCTCACTGCACATGGGCCTGTCCTCTACTGTGTCCTCTAAAGAAAGGTGAGGAGAGACCACTGTGATGGGACAAAGCCCATCCCACAGCAGCTCCCTAGTCAGCTCCTTGGGAAGGAACAGGCCTGACCTATAGACTACCCTGCCCAGAGGCCCTGGAGGCACCTCTGTGTCCATGTTACATATGTGTAGGTATCTGTGCATATCTATCTACGGGTCAGTGTCTATGTGTCTGTGTGCCCATCAGTGTGTGAGTGTGTGTGTGTGTGTTAGCTCAAGCACATGCATGTGCTGGCAGAATTGTAACTGCTGTCCTCACCATGATGGATGCCCACAAGTGACAAAGCTGGATGGGGGCTCCCCTGACCTGCCTAGCAGGTGGGATGGGTCAGCGAGAGGTGGCTCTCTGCTCTGGCGAATGGATGCAGAGCCCTGAGTCCCTTCTGGAAGCAGAGAACTACAGAAAGGAGCTTGCACATGGCTAGGCTTGCTCACTTCCCGCTGCTCCAATGAGTGCAGCAGTCAGTGCACCTTCAGGCATGACAACCTGGACCCTGGGCCAGAAGCTCCTGCACAAATGGGGAAGCTGAAGTAAGAACTACTTACTAGGCTTGGTCCCCAAGAGCATAGCTCCCCTCAGTGAGGCTGAAAGCTCTCACACGCAGCCCTCCCACCATCCAGGGATTAACAAACCAAGGCCAGGAGAAGGCAGAAAGGCTTATGGTCTCCGTGCATGTGAGCCCATACCGGGAATGAATCATATCATTATGGCAGGATTAGAAAGAAAATGCCATTAGAAAGGGCTGTGCACACTCTGGTTTAATAAGGTCAGCGGTGGCAAACAGCAGGGGGCCAGTGCACGAGGCTGCAAAGCCCCATGCCTCCTCCCACCCACAGCAGAGGCCACCAGCCCAGCTGACACCAACAGGGGAACAAATGCTCTTTCTGCCAGGGGCAACTCAGGAAAATCCTTTCCCCAGAACCTGCTAAGAGCGATTACCCAAATCCCCCTCACCAGCTACTCCCAACCACACTCCCTCCTCCAGGGTTCCACACCCTAGACATGCCTCTGCTTGGAAGGAATGGAGGATCAATCGATGGTACTTCACAGACAATTCATGTGCTATTAATCTGCTTGGTTCCCCAATGGCAATGCCCAGGTCTGCCTCCATTACCTACCCCTGCACGTGTGTCAAGGGAACCTCACTGAGTGCTCAAGCCTGCTGGTACTGCAGTTGCATGGGAGCTCTTTGAGGGAGGAAGGGGGCCTCCCCTGCTGTCCCTAGCACGCATATGGGAAGGCAACAGAGAAGGTAAGCCCAGGAAGATGTGTAGATAGATTGTAACTGCTCTCTGCACCTCAGCCAGCTCTCCCTCCTTGCTACTTCTAATGCTGTCTAGGAAACAAGCCAGACAGCCCTGCCCTGGAATGAAGGGAGATAGATACTCACAGCTCCAAGGACCTGGACAGGATGGCAGACAAGGTGAGCAGGATGCAACCATAGGGTCCCACTTCAAACTGAGGAGGAAGAAAGAGGACCTGTCAAACACATATCGCCACCCCGAGTCACCTGTGCGGCCTTATCTGGGGGAAAGCCTGCCAGAACCATGGCTTCATGGCTTCCAGCCCAGTCACAGAGGTTAGTCGGTAGCCATGGAGAATATGTCCCATTCAGACCTTCTTAGCCAAGCCTTTTAAAGGACAGAGGAGCACAGAACTGAGTCCCAAGGCCTGGGCACCAAAGCCCAGGAGCTAGGCTCCATTCTGGGACCACTGCTACCTCTGACCCTGACAGAAGGGGGCTGAGCTCTGCTATTATTGCCCTCTCCCAGAGAAGGAGGCCGCCCAGCTCCTGTGCAACAGTGGAGATCTAAGGCCTCCCAGCTTCCATACAGAATACCTGAGCTATGCAGTCAGCAAGTAAAACAGGGCTGGGATCCACAGCAAACTAGGGAGTGCCCACCTTTGTTACAAAGTTACTATTATAAAAGGGTTTTAAAATACACAATGTTGGTTCTCTGGGTTTGATTTATATGATACTAAAATGTTACTGATGCTGCATCTCCTCTGTTTTGCATCTTACTCTCTCCTCCTGCCCTCCTGGCTCTGCTACTTTGAGCCAGCAGCAAGTCTATAGAAGTATTTCTGAACTTTCTGGTCCCTATCCACTTTTCTCCAATGTAAACTACAGATAAAGTAGGAGTCTCTGCTTACAGCAAGTTGTAAAACACTTAGAGGAAGGCCTGCCTGGAACCCATAGTGGCTCTGGTACACTACATTTTAGAGCTGGGCCTGCCTGCCACCCACAGTGGCTCTAGTACACTATGGTACACTTCTGGCTCTGTACTACCCACCTGCCCCATTATCCCAAGGACCACAGCTGTGTTCGTTACTTTTCACTGTTGTTGTCATGTTGTTTTGGCATTTGGCAACTTGACACAAGCTAGAGACATCTGATGAGAAAATGCCCAAATGAGAAAATGCCTCACCAGATTGCCTGTATGTAGGAAGTCTGTAGGGCATTCTGTTGACTGATGATTGATAACATATTTTATTATTATTTCTTAGAAGCCTGTTCTTTTCCAATGAGAGACAGAAAAGGAGTGGGTCCGGATGGGAGGGAAGGCAGGGAGGATTAGAGGGAGGGGAAATATGATCAGGATGCTATGTGAGAAAAGAATATTTTCAATAAGATGGATAAAAGTAAAAATTTTAAATGTTTAAAACCAAAATAAGAAGTCAGAATGAGCAAGCCACAGGGAGGAAGCCAATAAGGGGCATTCTTCTATGGCTTCTATTCCTGCTCCAGGCCCCTGCCTTCTGACTTCCCTCAATGACACAGTATGACCTGAGAGTTGTAAATCAAAATAACCTTTTCCCTCCCCAAATTGTATCAGTCATGGCATTTTATCAAAGCAACAGAAACCTAGGACAATGGTCTACAGAGATGGAGAGTCAGGTTTCCAGGCCCACACCACTATTGAAATCTGACTCATCTCACTTAGGGCATGAAGAACTGTGTCTGAAGATGCTCTTTGTACATCAACAATAATTTCTGGACTTAAAGCTAAAAGGAGAAATGGCTATTTCAACAAGAATGATGTAACTGAGTACATTTTCATTTCTTCCTCGGCCACCAAGAAACTCAGAATCAAATATAGTATTCCAGTTCGGAAACTATGACAGCTCAAGGTTCTAATAAAGTTATCTTTCCTTCAAAGGACAGGCTTTGTTTTCACCCCATAATTCCCATCGTCAGCTAACTGATCATGGAAACATAACAGAGTGAAGTTCCTGCACCGTGAGCATGTTCCCTCTAGGCACAATAGTGTACATCTGTGATCTCAGCACTGGCAGGTTGAGAGAGAGTATTGCAAGCTCAGGCCCATTGTGGGCTATAAATGGTTGTGAGGCCAACCTGGACTGTATAAAGAGAACCCTGTTTCCAAAATAAACAATACAAGAGTCTGGTCTCTACTAAGGGGCTACCTAAGAAGTAGTTGAGTATGTGTCTGCTCAGTGGGGGTGACTCAGAAAGACAAAAGAAAAAAAAAAAAAAACAAAACTTGCAAAGTGTGGAGAACGGCTCATCCAGAACAGGGTTGCCAGCTCCTCTGAAAAAACGCAGGAAGGCCTGGGAGGTTCAGAGAGGGATTTTTGGGGGTGCGGTGTCTAACAGAAGTCCAAAAGGCAACAAGAAGATAAGTGACCGCTGCTTCATGCAAGCAAAGTGCAAAGGCCCAGGTGCCGGCTAGAGGGGACCAGAGAGCCCCCTTTTTATAAACACCACCCATTTTATAAATATGCTTCACTCAACCTCATCTAAATCCTGTGACCTCAAACCAGGCATTTGGTGCTGTGGCTTCTACAACGAAGACTAAGACCCTGCCTTGCAGATTTCCTGGGTTATTTATGGTGCACGCTCTCAAAGACAATTGCTGTGGATGTGACAGCTGCAAAGCCATGCTGTTGTCCCCACTCAGGTGACCCGAGCTTGGCAGGACTTGGATGGCAGATCCTGCGTGCAGCTTTGATGCAACCTTGCAGAGAGTCACCAAGCTCACCCATGCCCCCCCCCTTCTACCATGGTCTTCTTCTTTGTGTAGTGGGAGCCTCAGCTTTAGAATCTGTCTCCCCAGCCAAGCCTGTGGGGCCTATCACCCTGCAGGCTGCAGTATAGCAGTATGCAAGTCACTGAAGCTGAGCTCACAATGCACAGTGAGAAGTTGTTACTGTGCAGTGTGGCATGGTCCCACGAGGACAACGCAGAGAGTGCTTGCTTTGGGCCCCCAGAGAGTAGGAAACCCAACCCAACTTGGCCTTTTTGCCCTCTCAGAACACAACTGAATGGCACCAATATTCCTTCTTGCTTTTAAAAAATATTTATTAACATTATCTCATCAGATTCAAGCTGCCAAGACTGGGAGGCCCCAGGGCATCGTGGTGGCATGAAAGACAACCTGGGCCAGAAACTGTGGCTAAGGGTTGGAACAATGTCTGGTACCACTTGGGAAGAAGGGACCCTGGAGAGACATGAGCCCACCAAGGTATTCCAATGGGCAGCTGGACAGAAGCCTTCCACACTGGCTTGTGGCCACCAGACACCTCTCAAGGGATGAACAGGAATGAAAACAACATGGAGGCTGTTTATTTTGGGCAGTGGTGGCCTGCATTTCCACGCCTGGCACGAGGACCTCTCTTAAGCACAGCCATGAAAAATGGATTTGGTGTGCTCAGTGCTGAGGCGGCTCAATTGCTTCCAGCAAAAATACCAATGAAGCTGTGGGGGAAAGCACCATTTCCAGAGGAATGGGGGGGGGCAGGTATCGACTAGACTGGCTGCCCCAAGGAGCCATAGCGAGCAAAGAGGCATGCCTAGAGCCTATCGGTGGGACCAAGGGGGGCTCACCTGAGAGCAAGCCTCTCTCTTCGAAGTCTCTCATGGTTTCTGTCATGCAACAGGCTTCATGGAAACCCCAAGGCATGGGTTGAGGCATGAGATCCTACTTGCAGGCAAGGATACAGAGCCATCAGAGGGGCAGTGACTCACAGAGGGCATTCTGGCCCCTCCTTGGTCCTGGATCACTTTCCTTCCCCAGCTAGGGCAGCTCCATGCTCCATCTGCCTAAGGGGATAACCTTCCACAGGTATCCCCTAGGCACACTGCTGTGCTGTCAGACACAGGCAGCCCTGGGTCTGTTCACTCAGAGCGCCTGCACTTTGTGTAGAAGGCATTTCCCCACAGGTTCTCAAGGGTCTTAATAGTTCTAGAAACTATTCAGCTGCTCCAGCATCCATCTTTAGACGAGGAAACAGGGCTTCCCCAAGGCCATGGCCACATGCAACCAGCAGTAAACCCAGGCGGTCTCTTAGCCCTTGCTGCCAACATTCTCATTGCCCTCAGCAAGGGTGGGGAACTGTGCCATTAGCAGACACCCTTCAAGGTTATTCCAAGAAAAAAAAAAAATAGAGAGAACAAGGGATGAGGCAAATACCAACCCCTCTGCCTAGACACAACGGGAAGCTGCTCTAACCAAGATGACTGTGCAGGCTCCAAGATCTCCTGAGCTGCCCAAAATGGGAAGTGACAGCTCTGGGACTAAAGGGCTTCAGCAGGGCCAGTGCCCCTTGGCCACTCCTATCGTCAGTTATTCTTAGAGTGGGACTCTGTTTCCTTCCCAGGGAACATCTGTCTGTCAGGATCAGGATGCTGCTGGGGCTGTGCCAAGACCCTCAGCATCTTCAGGGGAAAGTGCTGAGAAAGGGCATCTAACAGTGGGAACTCCAAGTTGGGTCCCACCTCCAGCCAATCTCCCTCCCTAGGCTCACCACTCAACACCCCTTCCCCTATACCCCACCCCTGAGCATTTCCTAACCTTCTGGTGCAAGACTACTCCAGAAAGAGCTTCCTTCGTTACATTCCCATACCATGAAGCTAGAGCCTAGCTGCTATCCAGCCATGACAGATGAAGTAAATGAGATACAGAAAGCTTCAGGATGGCACCCAAGTCTCAGGACCAGTCAGGGTCAAAAGCAAGATCCAAAGCCAGGCTGAGTATCTCATAAGCCAAGTCCTTTGCCCCTGGAATGTAGGATGTGTCATCCACACACTCCATAGTGCTTTACACCACAGAAAATTACAAGACCCCTACGTTTCCTGTCCAGCTTAGCCATAGGCCAGGAGCCAAGCTCTAGCCAATAGTAAAGTGCAGTTGACTGGAGCAAACCAGGTGTTGTAGGGTCCTGTGACCTACCTTCCCAGGACACTGGCAAGGTCCTGTGCCAAGAAGGGACCCCTGCAGCCCCACCCAGGAAGCTGTTTTCTTGTTACCTCCCAGCTTGTTCTAGAACCCTCTCTGCTGATCCAGGGTAGCTGCTTACTACTTTCTAGAGAAAGCCCTAGAAAGCCAAGCCTCAACTTGGCTTCTAGTACCAGATACAGCCACACTGGTACAACTCCCTGGGCCTTGGGATCGCTGCAAAGATGTCATGGAAACTGTGTCTCCTGTCCACACCCACACTCTGCACCCTCCATCAGCACACTCTGCTCAGTTTATTTGCCAACCCCAGGGTGGAGGTGACCCTGGGGCACCACTCCACCTACCACCCTCTTCCATACAGAAATTAGGAGGCCTAGCAATGCTCATGCTCCCAAGGAAACTGATGCTCATACCTGATGAACGCTCTGCTGCAGGAAAGCCACCAGGTCCTCAGAGCAGGTCAAACTATACAGTGTGAGCTGTGAAGAAACACACACAGGGTAAGCGATGTGTCCCCAGAGGCTGTGCCCATTGCTGGGCCAGGCCCTGTAGCCTTGGCTTTATTACAAATAAATAAATAAAGTGCAGAATCTTGTGATTCTGGGCTGCCTAGCAATGCTGGGTGAGCTCCTCTAGAGCTCCCCCCACTCTCCCCTGCCACTGTACACAGGGATCCTGCTTCCTGTCTTTTGAGGACGGGACAAAGAGGAGGAGATGGCAGGGAAGAATCACTTCTCCATGTCACCATGCCAGGCCAGGTCAAATCGCCACAGACTGTTCTCAAGCGGGTCAGCAAAAAAAAAAAAAAAACTACATCTCCAGAAAACATCCAATCTAGCAAGGTCCTGAATGAGGGTTCAAAGTCACATGTGTACATGGCTGGGTCATAGGAAACGAATCAGCTAAAATACAAATAGTGAAGAGGTAGAAGGTTTTGAGTATCTTCACTGTGCCTCCATTTTTAGCAATACGCGTCTTTCCTGCCTCTTCCCTGGCCTCGCCTTAGGTTGGGCCCATGGCTGCTGCTTCGTGCTACCAATTCCCCTCCCCACTTCCCACATTCCATTGTCTTTCCTCATCCATGAGAATCCTAGAAAAGATACTGGAGACACAGGAGGGGCAGGAGGCCATCGTAGCAAGGGTCATCTCACACGGGTACTGAGGGCACCAGGGTCACCTCTACTCCTGGGCACATGGAGGCTACAAGGAGATTCTGGGCCTCTCAGCCGCTGAGCCAGCTCTGACAAGCGCCAGTCCCCACCTCTCCCCTACCCCCAAAGGGCAGGATTCTGGGGGCCTAGGGATGGCCAGTCAGCCCCAGCCTGGGGAGGATTTACTTAAATGAAAGGAGACAGTCCCCAAACAAAGCCAAAGGTGCAGGAGAGTTTTCCAGAGAGCCGTACTGTTTCTAAGACTCCATCCACTTTGTATTTCCCTGTTGGGCTGAAGTGTGCTGTTCCTGAAGCCCTAAAAAGGAGAGGAAGGTGCGTAAGTCCTCCACCAGATGAAAGGCACACCCTCTAGCCAGCAAGCCCACATGTGCCATGACCTAAATGTCGACAGGAGTGACAGCTCCAGAGAGAACAGAGCCAAGGGCTTCTCATTTTCCCTGCTGTGAACTCACCCACGAGTCCCGGGCATGGAAAAAGGGAGGTGGGTGAGCTTGAAACAACCACGCCTGTGTCTGGCAGGAGGGGACCTGCCTCTCCCTTACAGTTGGCAAATCCATCTGCCGGATGGATTGCTGGCCTGCCACTGTCATCACTCAGGGCAAGGGTTCCAGCCATCCTCTTAGACGCCTCCCCACCCACTGAGACAACCCCTAGCAACACACCAGGTGCACAGCCCAGTGCAGTCCTGACTAAGAGTAGGATTTGGGATGGGACCCATTTGCCACTGGTGTCACTGGGACACACCGCCACCCTTCTTCTCTTGGTTCCTGAGAGCTGCCAGACAGATAGATGTCAAGGTTAATAAGCTGCCTGCCATAAAGCAGGTGGCAGTAGCTGAGACACCTAACTACAACTGATGTGATACACAGATACTGCCCTAAGCACATCACGTTTATTATCCACCATTTATTTACATTAATAAATGATTCATACTGATAACGTTATTATATGTAATACATATCATTTATTTATACTTACTCTTTAGTTCTCACAGTCACTAAGTTATTATCACCCCCATTTTCTAAACAAGTCAATAAATGAGGTGAGGTCAATTCCCAGGGTCACACATCCAACAAGCAGCAGCTTGGAGAGTCTGCCTTAGAGAGGCCCCTTTCTTAAGTACCGTGCTAAAGTAACCAAACTGGTTCCCAAAACACCTCCCTTACCAAAGGTTCACCACAGAGCTGGGGCAAAGTGATGTTTCCAGCCTGAGGGGCAAGGATGAAGCCCATAAGGCTACCTGAGGGACTTTGGGGCAGGATGGAGCTGCCATCAAGGCAACAGAATCCAGCATCTAGGTTGTAACCTCTGTCCCTCATCTCTCTATCTCATTCTCATTGGTATAAGGTCCAAGTGACACAAGTAGAAGTATGCTTTGGGGACTCGGATGGTGATCCAGACTCATGATGTCACAGCTGAGTCAGCCTGTGGCCTCGGGATCAGGGAAACGCTGAGGGAAACTGAGTGCCTGGCTCACAATCTTGGGCCTGTGCTTCCCAAGTCCTGGGTGGTAGGCAGGCAGGAACACCCCCTCCTTCCTGAGTCTGGAGCTTAGACATCAGCAGAGCCCAGCCGCCCAGCATGCAGACTCTCTGTCCAGGACCAGGACAGCCTCCACCATCAGCTGGGCTGGAACGAGTTGGGAAGTGAATGCCCAGGACCACTTACAGTGCAACCACGGCTTTCTCTCTGCCTCCAGCGCGCCATAGGATGTCTGCAATGGCCATGGCAAGGCAGTGGGTTCTCTGGGCATCTGAGGGCTGCAGTCGGCTAATGAGAAAAGGTACAAGTTTAGGTTCATGAAGACACTGAGCACAACAGGCATGCCCCATGGAACATGTTTAGGTGACCCCTCTGCACATGGCTCCTCTTTCCTTAGCAGGCCTAGCTAAACTTCGGAGTCTGCAGGCTCTACAGAGAAGGACCACAGGAAGAACCTTGAGGGAGGGTCTTGAAATTTGGAAAAGGAATATTACCCATGGAGCAATGAGGACCTCAGAGGCTTGGCGAGGTCTGGACATGAGCTATAAGAGGACTTCTCATTCCGACAGGGCCAAGAATACGCTGGCACCCCTGCCACAACAGGCAGATGTGAGACACTATCCTGCCCTGACCTTAGCAGTCCCAAGAGCTGGGGGCGGAGGAGACTACAAATTGTCAGAAGCCAGGGCCCTAACTAGCTGGCTATGTAAATGAGCTTATGGGTGAGGAAGTCAGACTGAGGGATGGCTATGGGTGGTACCACACATGTGACTGGCAGCAGCGGTCATGCTGTGATGGGGGCTGCCCCTCCTCAGACCCCTTGAGAGGCTGTGAGGTTCGTGCAAAGCATCAGACAAAGTGGGCTGGCATACACTGCAGAGACGAGAAGGGCTGCCAGGATGGACCTCGGGGGCGGGGCGTGGGGAAGGCACAGGAGAGGAAGGTTGGATGGAGAAGCAGGACACAGAGCACCATCGTGTAGGCGCAGGGTAGTTTTGGGAAGCTCAGCCAGTCACCACATCTAAAGCCACGGAGCCGTCCTGCAATAAGAATGGTGACTAAGAAGTTCCTGGGACACAGTGCGAATAAGAGGGAGGAAGGCAGCCAAATATAGCCATTTCTTTCCACTTGACATTTCCAGGGCTCCTCCGTGCTGTGCTCCTGGCTTTCCTCTGTGCTCAGTGGATCTCCCTACATTCTTGCAGAAGCTGGCTCAAATCTCTTCCTAACCAACGAGTTGAAGACCTTCTGGGGGCAGGGCAAAGGATGCACCCAGGAGACGTCCAGGTTTTCACTCACCAAAAAATGCCTGACCTCCACACTGAGATGTGTGAGAGAGAGTGCTGGAATCGGCCCCTCCTGCCAGGGCAAGAGGGGAGAAACCAGGACACCAGTAAACAGCTACTATGGTGGGACCCGGAGCCACGCATCTACAGCCAGGCTGTTATTTAAAATGAAAATCTAATTACTTAAATTAAAGGTGACAAGACACAGTGGTGCCTCCGTTTCCCCATTTAGGAACTGACAGCGACACTGAGCTCCCCTCAGGGTTGGGAGCCTTAAACAAGACACTGCATGCATATGAACCCGGCCACGGATGCCACAGACGAGGGGTTCACCTGACACCTACTGACATGGAGCTCCGCACCAACAAGGCTGTGGAGGCAGCAAGATGAGCAATGAGGCTCAGCATGGAAGCAAATAAACCAGTGACCGCCGGATGCTCCTCAAACTCAGGAAGCCTGCCATATTTCTCACAGGAAATGGGGACCATATCATGGCCAAACAGGATGGCCTAAGCTGTTAGGAGCACCAACCCAGGTCAGCACTTGCTAGGAAAATAACATTGACAAAACATTTCTCTGGGTTTCAGGAGAGGCCATGCCAGGGACAAAGCTGCCTGGATGGTAGAGACTGGCAAACAACAGGTGAGAGGGTTAGACGTTAAGTCTTTGGGTTCAGAAACTACAAACAGGCTTGGTGGCGCTCCGAATGACAGCTATGGTTACTCACTGCATGCCTGCATCTCACATCTACCTTCTCACCTCTGCTCTGCAGTTACAGCCACTCCCCCCTCCTCCCGTTGAGTTTTATTCTCTCCTAGACCACCCACGTTCAAGGTGGGATCTCTTCCCACAATGACCCCGCGTCAGCCCAGATTAAAAGCCTCACCTGGTAGGAGCTGTGTAAAAGCTTGCCTGAACAGAAGCTCACTGCCTGGAACACCTAATGCTGGGAAACCTGCAGTCTAGGGGTCATGGGGACCTCATCTGAGCACCGAGCTTGAGGCAATCCTTGCTTGCAAACCTTTCAATGCAGTGACATTCAAGATTGTTTTTCCAGGTGCATTGGTGTTTTGTCTGCATTTATGTCTATACGAAGGTGTCAGATCCCCTGGAACTGGAGTTACAGACAGTTGTAAGCTGCCATGTGGGTGTTGAGAATTAAATCCAGGTCCTCTGGAAGAGCAGCCAGTGCTCTTAACCACTGAGCCATCCCTCCAGCCCATCATTCAAGATATTAGAAACCAGCACAGGAGTCCTTAGCAAGTGCCTGGCACTGATGATAAGCACTCTATACGTATCATTTCAAAAAACAGGAGTTCAGCACTATATCACCCTCTTTAAGAATGAAGAACTAAGTCTTGAAATGAACTGATGTATCCAAGTCACAGGGAGGAAAGAGGGAAGGAGAGAATGGGAAAGCAAAGTCGAGCTAATCACGGTTTTAGGAACTGCCGCCTGCCTTGCAGCCCATCTGTCAAGCATCTTGTCACACAATCAAGACAGCGTGCTCCTGGGCCAGCATCTCCCTGTTCCCACTGGCATTGCCTGCAGCCTCTCTTAGCTGGCCTGTTTCTAGATTCCTCGCTCATCAAATCAGCTTCTAATTAGAAGCATCTGAAGCTCCCACTTCATTCTGGCCTTCTCCATTGAGACCTCATTGCCTAGATAGTATAGTAGATCACAAAAAGTGCAGTGACCAGCAGTCAACAAGTCTGGGGTCAGTATCTGGTTCCCTGGCAGCAGGGAGCCCCACAGCTTCCTCAGTCTTGCTGTTCTGCATTTAAGTTACCCAGAGTTGTCAGGGCTCTCTGTACACACACACACACACACACACACACACACACACACACACACACACACACACAAACGTTCACTTATCCCAAACATGACAGCAAAAAGATGGGTCACCTGTATCTGCCAACATAGCCAGAACTTGACCCTCTCCAGTATCTGGGCGATAGCTTCACTGGTGATCGCTTGGTGACAGAGAAGATCCTACATTGCCTAGACACCAGACACATATTTAGCACATTCCCACCAGGAATCTGGCCCCTGGCCAGGCTCTTAGAGCAGAAGTTTCTACAAGAGTCTAGTTCCTCCAGAAGTACAGACTGAAATGCCTGGGGAGGGCTGGGTGGGAAGCCTATGTCTGCTCGTGTCTCAGAAAAAAAGCAGGTGCTTCTACCCTAATTATCTCAAGACAAATTGCACCAGTGCCCCAAAAATGTACCCACGTGAATTATGTCTATAGAACATTCTGGATGAAGCTGGACAGTGTGTCCAGGCCATGATTCCCTCATTTCCGCCCCTCTGAGGGAGGGTAGAGGGCTGACTTGCTGGGGGCCACAGGGACCTTGTATCTAAGCACCCAAGACAGATGCTCCTGTCATGGACTTCAGGTCCCACGATTTCACAAAGAAAGTATGATAAGAAGACAATATCCCAGATCCCCTCTCTGCATTCCGGCCAGCCTCTAAAGGCCTTTCCAACCCCTGGGCTCTCCTGGGGCCTGGAGGGGATGAGCCAAGCTGCATAGCTCCAGTCCAGTGGAAAAACACCGCATCCTGCCGCCTGGCTTTGTCGGGCTAACTGAGGCGAGGCAGCTGCCAGCCTGATGGACTGAGTCGTAATGAGGCCAGACAGCCCCACAGAAAACACATGGCCCCGCCAAGCAGCTTTTATTTCTGCCTGGCTTCCCTGAAGGGGCCACCCACCCTCAGCTCTGCTCTCCTAGAACCTTGTCCCTTTCCATGGGTCCTTCAGACCCGCTGTGCAAGAACCCAGCCTAGGAGCTGCACGTGTGGAGGATCCTTGGGCTGGCAGAGTGCCCTGAGAAGCATCACAGTTCCAAGTCAAAAGAGGAGCTTGTCTTCCTCCCCGCCCCAACCCTGCTCTTATTAAGCTGGGCAGTTTCTACAAATGTGGAATTCCAGAGTGAAATGGGACCAGTCAGGCCTCAAAGCTACCGAGCACACACAGCCTAGGCAGGAACATGGATGACTCTATCCACCAGTACCAAGTACATAAGTCACTCAAGCTGGAGATCTAAAACATACATAACTGTACCCACACCACCACTGCTCACACACACACCTGACTGCACAGTAGTTGTCTGTGCTCCTCTGCACTAGCTTTTTTTTGTAAAACTGGGGGGGGGGGAGGCTCTGTTAAGAAAGCCCTTTGTGCACAGAGAACCTAAAGAGTGCCGAGCATCCATCAGCTGCTTCCAACTCAAGCAGCCTCATCTCCTTCTCCTGCCATCTCTGCTCCCCACTGCTTCTAGTGTGCAGCGACATGCTGTGACAGGCAAGATGTCACAGGCCAGTCTTGGCTCAGCAATGGTGCCAACTTTGACCCTGAGCTAGCATCTCTCCGTCTGCGGGGCTTGCTTCCCCCCCCCCATACTGTGATGGGCTGAATTTCACTTTCATGATCCTGGAGGGTTTTTATTTTTAAGGCTCTGTCTGCATTTTCTCAAGGAGTGCAACCTGAGGAGGGTGTTTACTAACTCAGAGATGTGAGCCCTCAACCACCACTGTAGCCCAGGTCCTGACCAGCTCCTGTGCCCTCTGCCACCTCACCCCTGGCACACTGACTCCCTCCACCCTCAGGACACACCACACCCACTGAACAAAGATGCCTACTGTAGCCTTCAACCTGCAGAACATGAGCAAGGCAGAGGCAAGCTGCACATGGCACCCTCCCACCTCCTCCTGCTCCCAGAACAGTGCCCTGCTCTGTGCTATCAGGACTAAGCCCTGTGTCCCCCGTGGTTCTCGTCCCCAGCCCTAACTGGCTGCCTAAGGCAGTGGCACCGTCCCCCTGGTAGGAGACCAGGGAGTGTGGCAGTGCCCTTACCGAGAGCCCTCTGGCCAGGAGGAGTACATGCTGACCCGCTGGGAGGGTTTTAGAGCTTTTACAGATCACCCCTCCACCGTTCCTTTCAAAGTTTCCTTGGACTTCAGAGAGCTGAGCCAGGTGTTCCTGCTTCCTCTCACCACGTAGGAAGGGACACCCTGTGCCCTTAGCCTCAGGACCACAGGGATGTGGGATGCAGAGGGATAATGGGCAGCATCCAGAACTACTAGGCCCAAAGAAAGGGAGCTTCATCACCTTCCACAGGCAGATTCTACATAATTATATCATGCATTCACATATTATGAACCATACACAAGCCTACTTACACAACACAACCCTCACACAGCATAACCCACACATACACAATCACCCACCCCACACCGAATGTGACCCACTGATATAACACAACACATCCTCCTATAATCATGACCCACTTAAATAACATAACCCACCCAAACACCCTCCAACACGGCACAACTTCAACATGCAACACATCCCCCATGCAACACAACCCTCACACCACACAGCCCACATACAATACAACTTTTAAATAACCCACAACACAGCCCCAAAGCACAACTCTCACACAATATAATTTGTATACTAAAACCTTCATGCAACATACCTCACACACAAGATAAGCCTCACATCCAACACAAAATCCTACATATAATACACCCTCCAAAGAGAGCACAATTATCCCATAAAACAAAATTCACACACATACAATACCTTCCCACGTGCAATGCAACTTTTCTAGATTGTATTAACTCCCATACAAATATAATCTCCACACAGCACAACCCCTTCAATGTACTACAACCCATACATAATATAACACACACACACACACACACACACACACACACACACACACACCACAGCTTCCCTAACAAAATGCAACCTACATGCAGTAATTCAAATATATAGCACAGCCCCACACACAATACAACCTTCCCCCGCACAAGCCCCATACAACACAAGCCCCCAACATTACAGCTCCCATGCAGAACACAATGCAATACATCACATAATCACCAACAGCACTTCCCCCCCCCTCCTCCCAGGTGTGTGCGTCCCCTCAGCGCCCAGCATGACCCAGGTCCCACATGCGAATGCAGCAGGCTTGGACTCTTGGTTTTTGTCCAGATGAACCTACTTTCTTTCTCAGATCACAGCACACAGGAGCTCTAAGCCAAGGCTACATGTCTTCCTGCTCCTCTCCCCAGCACAGCCCCAGTATAGCTGCCTATGCAGGAGTGTGCAGATTAGGCCTAGGGAAGGTTTGACAGGGGCTAAACAATGTGAGGCCGGTGAAGGAGAGTGTCACCTCCCACCCCTTGGCAGGTTCCAACCTGAGGGGCCTCCAGCCTTCAGAGCTCTGGCTCCCTTCCCTTGTGGGCTATAAGAAACCAAGACAGCTTATATCAGGGCAGCATCCCACTTCTGGAACTTCGGCACAGCATCCCAACTACTGGGAAACCTTCTGTGTATAACTCCTCCAAAAGTCCAAAGGGAAGGATCTGAAGAGGCTCTGAAGGCGCTTTGGGCTGACATGAGTCATAAGACATCACTCGCGAGAGCCAGGGCCAAGGCGCACTCAAAGTTTTTGATAGTCCCAAAGGCCCATAGGCCCTTGTGGTTGCCTGGCCTTACCCCATCCCTTGCCACCTCAGGCAACCTCTGTTCTCCCTGCCCTAGGGCCTTTGCACATCCTGTTCTCTTTATTGGAATACCATTCTGCATCCCCTCCCTGTTTGTCTGGACAGCTCATCCATTGTTCATTCAGTCATTCTTCAAAAATCCTAAGGGCCTGTCCCGTGGGCCAGGCACTGTGCTAGATTCCAACACAGTGGACTGTCAACATACAGAAGAACCTCCCAAAATCACCAGCCCATGGACCAGGCAGCTCAGGGAAGTAGGTCCTTGCAAGGAGGCAGACACATAACTGCACCAATGTACAAGAGTACAGTGAGTGATGGCGTAATTAGAGGCAGGGCATGGGTTTACCGTCCCTGGAGGTCAGGGAAGGCTGTCCTTGACAGGGTGGTTACAGGGGCCAGCAGACAACCTGTGATGGGAGATGTCATAAAACCGTACTCCTTACAAACCTGCTTGGTCAGGGAAAAAGCTGGAGGGTATATGTTGAGAGGCAGGAAACGTTAGAGGAACTAAAGTATGACACGTCTGTACGATGGAGAATAAGGAGCTTCCTTTCTTCTGCAGACATCAGGAGGGTTCAAATGTACCTGCAGGGAGCCTGCTCACCACCCTCCGGCAACTTCATGACCCTGTCACCACCTGTCTATGTGTGTGGCTCTCCTGTTCAATCCCGGCAGAGATGAGGGGAAGGGTACTTCTATCACAGTCCCATGGTTTACGGTCACAGCTAAGAAGGGAAACAGGCAAGGGCCCTGCTGAGGGCGCAGGGGTTCCAAACTCAGCAGATACTGTCACATCAGGAATGGCAAGTGCTTCTGGACAGCATCGGCAGCGCTGGCCTCACCAGAAATCCATAGCCAATCTCGGTTGACTAATCTCTGGTGGGAGGAGGGAGAGAAAGCACTGGCTTCCCTCACTGCACAGTTATTCTAGGAGTGTTGACGACATGCAGATGAGCAGGGACACCCAGGTACACATACTTTATGTGTGAACGCAGCCACAAAGGGGAGAAAGTCAGACGCAGTGAAGTCGGCTGGAAAGTGCGGTTCTGGCTGTTGACAGAGAAGCGATAAGCAGGGAACAAGGGAGGGAGCCCTAGTAAAGAGGGTCAGCAGATGCTTATGGGTGAGGAGGGGGTCTGAGGAGGTGGGCAACATTGCAAAGCTGCCTTCAGTTACTTGCCATGTGGAGCAAAACATGACTGACCAACCTTGCCTGCTCCTAGAAGCAAAAGTACCATGTCCGTTTAACCAGATCAATGGAAGCCCTGCTAGCTAGCTTCCTTCACCTGCGGTGACCTCCAGGAGATGGGAACTATCAGGGAACGCCCACGCTCCCTTGCTTATTTATTCTGGACACCCGAGAGAAGCCTTGGAAAGGGAGATAAGCACCGACTTACAGATTAGAGTTGGTTCTGCTACCTCCTTCAAACAGGAGTTTCTGCAGCACACAGCCTTGGACAGCTGCCAGAACACCACAGGGACCACCCTGCAGAGAAACACGTGTCACTACCAGTGAAATGGCCCCAAGAAGCTGTCCATTGCACCCACCAGCCTCCAGCCCCAGTCCAGGGATCTTCAGCAAGGTGACCTGTCTAAATGCAGACTTCTACGCCTCACCCTGCTAGAAGAAGAGGTCAGTTGTAGATCCTTCCTCATGCGATCAAGGTGACTATTTACAAAGTCAGGTGTGATGTTAGGGACACCACCATGGGTTTTCAGTCAGCCAGAGAGTTCCCACCATGTCCAAGGATTGTCAGAGCAATAAGTCAGGAAACCCTTAAGCTATAGTAAGAGAGGATCTGAGCTTGGCCACACCACAGAGGGAGGCAGAAGCTGGTAATCTCGGGGTCCTTCCTCAGGCAGCAGAGGCAGGGGTGGCTCCACAATGGAGAAATGTGCCTGGTGGAGATCTCCTGCAGCCCTTGGCCTCAGAGTGGGAACATTGTCATGTCTTTCTAGAGACTATCCTGCTGAATATGTCCACAGCAGGTGCCAAGCTTCCACTACCTATCTCTGGCTCTGTAACAGCCAAAACCTTCTTCCTACACCAGTTCTACACACATGATACCCTGGCATTTCCTGAAACGTCCTCCCTACCCGTGTGCCTCCGTTCTCCAAAAGCGACCCTCTCCAGCTCTACCTGTGAAACTCCCAGCTTCTCCCAAGGTTTGACCTACGAAGGCTCTCAAAGCTTCCAAGCATGTTCAAGGCCACCTTACGGTCTCTCATGTTGACATCCCAGCATCAGAGGAAGTGAGTTTGGCTAGAATGCCCCCAGCAAGGGTCAAAATGGCTCTCCTCACTCTAGCAACCAGATCTTAACTGCCTGCAACAAGTGATATCCTGGCAACTGTGGGGTAGGCCAGATCATCCCACTGGTACTCTCAGAGGTCACCATGTGAATGACATCCCTACTTCATGAGGGACAACCCAGAAGGGTCCCTGGGGACACCAAGAGCAACCTGCCTTGTTCTGCACGATGCCGTATTTTAATGAGGCGGTGTCACTGAAAGAAAAGTTCTGAAGTTTCCATTCTTCACTGAAGCAGCAAAAGGTAGAGCCGAACAGAAGGGTCTTCACCTCCTGGGAGGGAAAAGCATACCATTGGCTGTTAGTAAAATAAATAATAACAAGGCTTGTAGCACAGGCCCTGCAGGAGTTGGTCGTGGGTTCTAGAAAGTGCATTTTCTCACAGTGGTCTCTATTTTGCAAGCCCATTCTTCTCATATTTGAGGAAGATAAACCTGACCTTAAGGGCCTCCTTACCTCTGGAGTATCTGTAAATCACACCAGCCCATTCTAACATGGGCCAAGGTTTGCCTTACACAGACTTTGAAATATAAAACTTTGGCTTCACTGGGGACTCTGGAGGGCCTCGGATCCTCCATCAGAAAGACTGTAAGTTTTCCAGCCTGACCTCACATTAAAATTACCTAGTAGTACTTAAAAATAATCCAGATACAGGCCATAGGCCAGGTCAATTGAATCCACATTCCTGAGGACGAGAGGCCAGTATCCATAGATTTGCTTGGTCTTTTTAGTGTGCTAAGAATGAAAGCCATGGCTTTCTACCTTAACCCCATTATCAGATTTTAAGCTGCCTCAAGTAACTCCACTTTGTAGTAAGGTTTCAGAGCCACAATTCTGGCACAAAGTTGGCAAACTGTAGTCCATAAACTAAATCTGACACCTACCTGGCTTTGTAAATAAAGTTTTATTAGCACACCACAATTGGCATTGTTTAAACTTTGCCTATGGCTGCTTCTACATCACAGCAGCAGGTATGAGTAGTTGCAAAAGAGACCAGAACCCTGAGCAAAGTCAAAAGCATGTTCTCTAGCTTTCTGTAAAAAACATATTCCCTCTAGGATGCCACCTATAAGTGACCTCCCTTTAAATCTTATGGAAAACCCCACCACCCAGGGGGCTTCCTACCACCTCCCAAGGCCATGTCGCCATTCTTTCAGTTCTCCCAAATCTCTAGACATCAGAGGATATTCAGTTTGTGGTTCATTTTCTGGTAACCCAAGGATCTCTGTCTGCTTTGCAATACCAATGCTTCATGCTGATGGGCCCCACCCTCTGCTTCCAATGATGGTCCATGGCTTTCCATCACTGCTTTACAACCTGGGGTGAGGTACTCCAAAACCTCAAGAGGCCTCTAGGACCAGCAGGCTGGTCTCCAGCCCCTTCCTGGAGCCTGTTCTCAAGGTCAGGCTCCTCTGGGGGACCTGGATGGCTATCAACTACAATCAATTCTTCCATCTCTTCCCTTAGTACAAGGAATCTCCGTGACATAGACATGTCATCAAATGTGGCCGACAACACACTGAATAAATGAATTCGTCCAGCAGGGCTTGGCTCCCCTTCTGTGCCAAGTGAAACCCTGAGTGTGCTTGGAATGCTCTTCCAACAGCCTGAGAACTGAAGACTCAGCTCTTCTGGGTGGACCCCGTTGAAATCCTCTTAGCCAATGACAGCTCCAGGACACCACAGTATGTTTAACAGCACAGAAGCCTGAGCCCTGTCATCTCCCATCTTTGAGAGTCATTCTCTCGGGTTGGCTTGTGACAACCCTTGCTGAGCAGTCTCTGGAGGCCTCCAAGGGCTCAGCACCAAATGGAAATGCTTGTCCAGAGGACCACCGCCCTATGACTGTGGATGGTCAGAGCATGGTGCCCCACTTTGGGGTCCCTTCCACACGCCTAGCCCTCTGTGGCTTCAAAAGCTGGAACAGACAGGAGCAAAGAAGGGAAGGGGAAACAAAATCTCAAGATAAATCTTTTACATCAGGGTCTATGTGCTAAGTACACACAGGTAAGTGGGACCAGAAAGAAGTTGCCTGTATCTCCAGGCACTCCTAGATTTTCCTCTGGATCCTGGCTGGAAAGCTCCTGGGGGACAGCAGGAAGAACTCTTGATCCTGCAGGAGCCTCTAGCCAAAGGAGGGGTGAGCCACCCTGGCAATCAAGGGTCCTGAGGAACACAGGGAACCTCTGCCACGGAAGCCATAAGGCAGGGAGCCTACTGTCATGGGCCCGTCTAAAAGGCCACAGGTTCAAACCTGGGTATGCTGAGGAGCTGCCAGCCCTCCCCATCCTTCCAGCTCTGCAGGTGCCCGGAGTCTGGTGCATACAGTCAGTGTGAGCACAGAGCCAGTCTCACAAGACAACTCCATTAATGTCACACCATGGCAGGTGAGGCAGCTCTGGGCCATCGAAGAGCAGGGTCTGCAGCATCTAGAAGAGGAAGACACAGCCCTCTCTCTTTGTCTCATGGAAGCAGGGGAGCAGCCAGGACTAAAACAGTCTTCCTGACCCTTGGTTCAGAGTTAGCTATCAGATCCAGTTCCCACTTCCACAATATCCATGAGATTATAACGAGGAAGAACCACTGAGCCAAAAATATCAAAGTTGTGCAATCTGCATCAGGTTGTGTTGAATGCGGACCCCTCCTTATACCTCTGCTCTGACACCTACCTTCGCCAACGGGAGGTCAATTGGCTTTGACACAGTTTGCAGCTTGAGCATTGATGGAGGTGGGGACAGGACAATGTCTTCCTTTATCAGTTCATCCTCAACATCCTCTGGAAGAAAACACGGCCATGGTGTGGCTCAGGGAAAATGCAACAGGAAAGCACTTACAGAGCCACCACACTGAGAACTTCAGAAAAACTCAGGAATGCCTCAGTCTGAACAAAAGCCTCCACATCGGTTCCCAGGCCTCCCCCACCAGGAAAGAAAGCAAAGAGGGACACCCTGCTGGCCCCCACCCCTCCCCTGCTGGGCCATAGGTGGACAGGGTGAATCTGGTGTCCTAGAACCGACAGCCAGTGGGCCAGGCCCAGCCAGACCCAGCTCTGAGACATTCTTTACAAAAGATGAGCAGGAGGCACACAGCTGTCACCCCCAGGACACATGAGACAAGGTCAGCATTCAAGAAGGAGTCACATTCATGCAAAAATCATAGTAGTATTTTTACTATCCTCAGTGTTACTTATTTGATTTGTGCCACCCAACCCCAACTTGGCCTTTTGAGAGCTTGATTCCTATAGCCCCCACTTACAACAAGGACACGAGGCATAGAGTGACCTAACTGTCCCAAGTTGGGCAGAGGTGGACATAATACAAGATGACTGCAAACCTCTTGATACCCTGCCTTCCCTGGACGTCCAGCTAGAAGGGGCTCCGGGACATCTCTTGCGTATACCCTCTCATAGTTGTGATGATACAGGAGGAGAAAAAAATCCTGCCAGAGTCTTCAGCAGCACTGGCCTGAGACCTCTCGGCTGGCAAGGCCCCCTGGCCCTCTCCCTTCTGTGCAGCATCTCCTGGGATGCTCAGATAAAGGATCCAGGAGAAGGGAGCCGTAGGTGAGCATGCTGAGTGCATGCTCCGCAGAGACACTGCCAGGGTGGGCCTGGCATGGGGTGGGGGCAGAGGGGAGTCCCAGGCCAATTCCTCCCTTGTTTTTCACAACAGCCTCCTTTCCCCGTCGGGGAGAACCAGCAGCCACACAAAGAAGACTCACCCACCGAGTAAGAGCATAGGACATGAAAATGGGAGTGGGGGACAGTTGAGGGTTCAGCGGGGGGGGGGGCATGGCGAGAGGGGTGAAAGTGACTAAAACTCACTCTGTACATGTATGAAACTGCCAAAGGAAAAAACATTAAGGCTGAACCTTAAAGCTAGATTTAAAGGAGACCTTTCTTAGTTTGAATCTCTGTGACCATGGCCTTATAAAAATAACCAGAAATAGAAACCAGATGTTTCCAGCAACGTGAATGGATTTTAAAAACATGGTGCTATGTAGGAAAAAGAAGGAAGAAATCAAATGAGATGGCAAATAAATACACTTGCATTCCAAGCAATAGCCAGACTGTGGGAACAGACGTGGCTCATGCCTAAGACTGTGAGAGCTGAAGGGAAATGAGGGCAGAGAGGAAGGAGATCATGGCCGACGGACAGACTGTGTAAAGGTACGCAGTGAGAGAAGAGACCAGAAACGAGGCTCCGGTCTACCAGGCAGAGCAACCAAAGTGACTCTACCAGGCCTGAAGGGAGCCTTGCAATGCCTGGAGTCAGCCAGTTTTTGAGCTCAGCTGGACATATGTGGTTAGCAATATACCCAGCTCAGCCCATGAAGTTTGTCTGGGATGGAGGCTGGGGGTTAGGAAGCAGGCCTCAGGACACATATGGGGTGAGGGTGAGCGGTGGAGCAGGCCCCTCCCTTGGACCTGGCCCAGCACAGGGAGTTGGTTCTGGACCACATAGCAGGCCTCAGGACCAGATGTGGCAAGACCGCCATGCAAGGGAAAAGCAAAGCGCTAAGGAATGACATGTTGGCCGAGGCACCAAACTGAGAATGCTGTTTTTAAGGCTCTCATATGAGCGTGTGGGTGAACAGGAGCTAGGGGCTTCTTTTCCCATTTCATATATGCTTCGGAGGGGAAAAGAATGTGGCGAGGGGTATATGAGTAGAGAGAGAGAGAGAAAGACTCACATTTCCCTTCAAGTGCAAAGAGAGCGAGAGGCATGGTGCTCATGCTGATTCCACGGGGACGCGGCCATCGGGCTCTTTCCTGTATCAACTACTCAGATACGGCACCTCTATCAGTGAGCTGGTACTTCCTACTGGCCCCAGGGTGTCCACTGGGAGCCCCCCATCACTTGACAGTCCTCTGAGGCTTGGGTTTGATAAGGACCCCCTCCCCTCTACTCATGTGTCCCAAGATGGAATCTCAGTTCTCCACACCCCATAGTTCCAGTCTGGATTTGTCCCAATACCTCATGTCTACACCCTGTGTCTCCATTGTTCCAGAAAAAGTGTTATCTATTTATTCAAAAGCATGTCTTTGTTTGTTTGCAGAACTGAGCTTTGAACCCAGGCACTTGTGTATATGCAAGTGATCTGGTACTGAGCCTTATCCCCAGCCTTCCCTGCTTTCTTTTTCGATTTTTATTTTGAACTCACTTTGTAATCCAGGTTGGCCTTGAACTCATGGTAATCATCTTGCCTTAAGACTTCCAAGAAGCTAGAATTGCAGGCCTGTGCTCTATCAAATACCCATAGTTAATATACTAAAGACCAGCATGGGGCAGAGAGGCCCAGAATTGACAAGGGTATCATTGTGTTCTCCAAGAGATCCCAGCCCAGAGAAAGAGACACAGTGCCCCAAACACAATGGTAAAATGTGCTGGATTAGGAATCTGGGCAAAGGGTCAGAAGCAGAGAACAAGACAATGAACTCTGCCAGGAGAGGTGGCGTGTGAGGTCCTGAAGTGCTCTTGAGGACTGACTAAGGACAAAAGAGCCTCATCACTCTGTCGTGACTCTCAGAAGCTCCACACAAGTCCCTTTCCGGGGTTCCTACATTGAAATCCGTCCTGTGCCAAGTCTACACAGCCCTGGCACCCAGTGATCTGGTCCAAGCCTTAGCAAGCACTCAAGGAACCCTCTCCACCAGCCTGCTCCAGCTCCGTCCTAACACCCACCCCTCCATGGGCCCTGCTCCTCTCCACAGCCTCTCTCACACTCATCATTGCCTCTGCTTGCACAGTTCCTTCCATGGCTCCATGGGGCAGGACCTGGGCCATCCTTCAAAGCCTGAATGCCACTCTGTGACGAACCTTCCAGGGCCTATCACAGAACCTGTCTCCTGTACCTCTTTGAAGCTCACATATTCCTATGGGAAGACACCTCTCTCTTTGGAGCCATCCGGTTCTGCCTCCCAAGAACACAAGATATCCTCCACTCAGCAGCCTGCCTGCAGCTAGGCCTCACCTAGGACTGCGGGAGACTGCAAACAAAGGCTCCTAAACCAGACCAAAGGGAAACCGGACCCTCTCCCAGAATGCGCTGCCTCTTTTTTTCTGCAACCCCTTGCCCTCCTCAACCCTCTCAGTTTCTCTTCCCTAACTCTGTTCTCCTTTTCCTTGTCTGAATCACCAGAGGGTCCCCTCCTTCCAGAAAACACTTCAAATGGCTTTTGGGAACTGCCAAAAAGCTTCCCTTCTGTGAGGGGTTCTGAAAGCCGGGAACTGTGTTGCTTTGTTTCTAAACACGGGTCACTTTCATCAGAAAAGCTTCAAAAGTTGCACAACCCAGAGGCTTTGAATGCCAGGGCTTCTTGACTCCATCCCTTACTCTGCACAGCCATGAACAGAAATCTGCCCTTCCTGGGCAAGGCCACATCATCCCCACCAGCAGATCCTGGTGATTTCTGAGGCTCTGGGACCTCTGAAGTGTGTTAGGCAGCATCAACAAGCCTGTCTTCCATGATCAGAGCCCCGGCTTGTACTTTGAGCTGGACCAAAGCTCACTGTTGGCTGCACGTCCAACCCCAAAACTTCTAAGAGTATACCTCTCCTTCTTCAGCTTAAAAAGGAATGTTTAAAAGGGAGAAGGAGGCGAAGTGAGTGAACAGCTTCTATGTGCCCAAAAAGGCCAGCAGGTAAAGGGGCTGGCTTCCAGGAGGAGAGCCAACTCAAGAGCACTCAAGCTCACCCTCTCATGTCCAACCTTGCCCTATCGTCCTCCACTAGAGAGTTTCTACCAGACTCTGTCGTCAAGGATTACAGGCAGAAAGAAAATGCTTCAAAGCTAAAGTAGAAACCAGTGCTCTGTTTTGATCTGAGTGCGGTGACACAGGCAGCGACACTATGTGGAATGCACTGGGCTGAATGCAGGAGTAGACCCCCTCTCCCTTCTCTGCATTTTATACCTCAGCCACGCTTACGAACCTTTTAAATGGAAATGCCAGCCCAGGCAGAGCTACCTCATATTTTGGCCTGGAACTGTCTTCCAGAAACATTCTAAATGGTCCCAGAGAGCTACTGTGCCTGCAGCCGTGCCGTGCAGGTCCAGAGACAAGCAACCTAATTTCTATTGGCTGGTCTGGTTTAGTTTGGGGAAACAATCTATTCTTTGTTTGGTGGGTTGGTCGGTTTGACTTGGTTTTGGAGACAAGATCTTGCCATAGGGTCCAGGCTGGCCTCCTCCAACGTGGGACCCTCCTGCCTCAGCCTCCTGAGTGCTGGGGTTACAAGCATGTCTATATCTCCCGAGATAACCAATCCTTCTGTAAAAGCTAATGTCCAGAGGAGAAAGACAGGCAGTAGATGCAGACACCAAAGGAACAGAGACCCATGGCCCTGAGGTGGGTGGTGAGGAGCCTCCCACCAAGCCCGGAAGGAGTCCTGCCTTTGCACAGATACAGCAGGGGATGAGCCTCACCTACCTAGCCACAGGGTATCTGGCTTATCAGCGGCCTTGTCAGACACCAACTGATTTTTCCTGAGAAAAGAAAAGAAAAAGAAAAAGTCAGTGTGGAAGAAGAGAACGCCAGAGGAACATAAACAGTACAGATGACCTGAAGGACTACCCAGCCCTGACACCCACAGAGTGTCCAGAGCAGGCTGCATGCCAACGAAGCTCACTGATGTCACTGTGACCCACTGGGGGCAGGAAAGGGGCAAGACTTATCATCGGCGAGTCTGTCTCATCACTCATGGTCTTAAAGTCAGCTTTTGTTTCTTCTCTCCCAGCTTTCTTATAAAACCATGTGTGGCCATGAGACTTCTGGGATGTACCAATCTATGTAGAGGAAACTGACCCTGGGCTTCTGATTTGCTATTTGTGCATGCGTGCTCGTGCGTGCGTGCATGTGTGTGTGCATGCGTGCGTGTGTATGCACCCCTGCATTCAGAGACCCCACCCATGCAGTAGCTGTGCTTAGATTTGTTTTCCTCCATCATGCATCAATCTGAAGTGAAGGAAATAGAATACATTGAGAGTAACACCCTTACATCATTCTCCAAAAGCTCATTTACTATGTCAAAAATGACAGTTCTTTTGAACATGGCATTGAAATATATTTTCCTCCACCGTCTTTGCAGGCTAAGATATGACTGTAGTAACAATCATAGTCTTGCCACGGTGCCCCCCATTGAACCGGTTTCCTCCTGCAGATGTATGAAGGGCGTGAGTAAAGACCGTGGAGGACACACAGTTCTCAGACCCTGTGCCTGTGCTTCGTGGGACTCTGAGTTTCTCTGTGGCTCCCGAACCCACAGCTCCCTCACACTCCCTCCCCAAGCAGCCTGCCCCCCGCCGTGCCCATCCCATTATTTCATTCAAACTCAAAGAATCTCTGAGTCCTGTGCCACCAGGACTTGGCAGGTGTGTGTTAGGCACACGGTGAAAGAATGTTCTGGGAACTGGGAAGAGGGGTCCATGGATGCAGAGCACCCTTACCAATTCCATGAGCACCAGTGCCATCAAAATCCTCTTCCCACAGACCCTCCCAGCTCATCTGCTCCACGGCAGGCACTGAGGACCTGGGCACTGTGATGGAAGGGACAGGGCACCCAGGAACAGGCAAGGAACATGAGGCCCAGGCACTGACCCGAGATGGCTTCTAGAGTCCCAGTGAAGCATTTCAGATGGAGACAGCAAGAGCATCCCCCAAGCACTCCACGGCCGCCAGGGCCTTCTTAACCCAATTGGCTCTGCTTCTTCCCTCTACGGTATCTCAGCAGCCTCTTAGTGCCATCCGGACACCCAGAATGGCTTGTCCACAGTCCCCACATCTCCCCGTGACATGTGTGCAGAGGCCAGTCTGAAGTGATACAGCACCCGCTACACAGTTACTTAACGGTCCCTGCCAACTCTCATGACTATCACCTACAGCTCCATATTTACCAAAGTAACCACAGCATTAACAACAAATTCCTCCTGGCCCTTTGGACGATGCCAGGCACTAGAATATGTGCTTGGAAAACCTCAAAGGCTGTCTGTCTCTCAAAAGTGTCTTTTGAAGTAGTTATTTCCCTGAGTCTCAAGAGAGGTTCAGCAAGTGGCAGCACAGGAACTGAACTCAAGCCATGACTCCAACATTAATGGCAGTAGCCATCTCACACAATCTCCTTCTACTATAAGAAGCAGGCCTCTTAAAATTGCTCTGCAAGGCGCTACCTGACCTGCCACCAAGGCGCTACCTGACCTGCCACCAAGGCGCTACCTGACCTGCCACCTGCTGCCCTGAGGCCCTGCTGAGTCACCACACTCCACCTCCCTTGCTGTGTACTGAGTATCTCAGGACAAGCCAGCTTGCCTCCTCATACACTATGCCCTTTACACAAATGCTTCTGACAGGTTCCTAATGCCCTAAAGCCCAACTCCAGTACCCCACCCCTAGCATGCTTTTACTCATTTATGTATTCGCCTCCAAGAACAAATGAAGGGCTTTTTCTATCAGACCTGTCTCTCAGGCAAAAAAAAAAAAAAAAGGACAAGATGGTGCACCAGGTTAGCCCACAAAGATGTCCTCAATCTTAATTCCCAGAACCTGTAGCCATTATACTACAGTGAAGATGGGAATGCGAAGGACCTGAGTTGGAAAATGACCCTGGTCTCCAGTGTAGTCACAAGCAAAGGAGCCCTAGCCCAGAAGAGATGAGTTGATAAAAGCTGAAACCAGGTTCCCACACTCTGCAGATGGGAGAGTGAGCCACAAGCACAGGAATATGGGTGGGCCATGGAGGGTAAAAAGGCAAAAACACAGACTCTCCCTCAATGCCTTCAGAAAGATCTAGCCATGCCAACTCAGTGAACCTGATTTTGGACTTCAGCCTTCAGAACCAGGAGGCATTAAATTCATGCCGTTTAGCTTGCAGCATCAAGGAGGGAAACAGGACTGCAGAGTTCTCTTGACTCACTGGGTCGTGGATGTCCAGCACAAGCCAGTGCTCCAGAGGAAGCTAAATGATGTAATAACCCTCACAGAAACTAGGCGACTTACAAAAGGCCGCATAATTTAGAACGGCCAATGCCAGGACTCAAACCCAGGCCATTGGTTTCAGACACTTCACTCGGTTCATTCCTTTAATTTGCACATGATGTCCCTGCCAGTAACTTCTATGGCATCCTAGGAATGGTGGGGACAAAGTCTCAAATGTTCTTGGTCATGCAAGGGTGGGGACGGATGTCCACTGAGCGGGGAACAGCAGGGCCTCTCCCCAGTCATGGGACTTCCATCCAAGGGCTATCCATCAGCTGCAGGAGGAGCTTTGTGCCCATGTCCCATAGATCTCCTCACCAAAGGAAGCCTCAAGTGTGCTCACACGTGGAGAATGTGCTATTGTTCCTTTCATGTGCCCCTTTGTGGCATACGCATTGTAGAGTTCAAAAGGTCAATTTAAAAGTGGGTTCTTGCCTTTGAGTGAAAACTACTAGAAACAACAAAGACAAAAAAGATAAATCAAGGCTTCTAAATGCTTTCTCCAAGTGCCACTGTGTAGATAACCCAGAGGCATGCATCAAGGACTAGTGGCAAGATATGCATTTTGTCACACCTAGATGACCTCCACCCCATTTCTGTTTCTTATCACATTCTACAGAAAGAACAAAGAGCCAGGGGCTGTGTTCAGAAGCACAGAGGACTAGGTCTTAGTTCTCCAGTAACTGAATCCTTGTCTGGTTAGAAAGAGCCACTGAAACTGTTTGCCAAAGGAGTCTCATAGGAACCCCAAACAACCCAGACTGTTGTCAAGACTATAGGTTGCTCTCCACAAATTGACATCAAGGTCTCTCTGCTAAAGGCAACACCCACACAACTCTCTGAACATGGAAAAGCTGAGCTGGTGCCTACATAGAGCCCTTATCCCTACATTCAAGCATTTTCAGTACAGGAAGGTACTCCACAGACTATCAAAGGGAAAGCATAAACACCAACCTAGCCACAAAACCTCTGACCATAATGATGTCCGGCCTGCAAGATGTGCTAAGGTACCGGTGGCACAACCCTGTGGGAGTACCCACCCAACAACTGATCTGACGTAAGGATCATCAAAATGGAACCCATGCCCGACACTGCTTGGATGATCAAGAACCAGAGACTATACAGCCTAGGGATCTAAGGTAAAATGAAATACAACTGTTCTTTGATAATAATAATTATAATAATGATAAGGAGCAATAAAATGACTCCTAATGACATTTTACTAGACACATGGATCAGTGCCTTGCTCAGCCATCGTCAGAGAAGCTTCCTCCTGCAGCAGATGGGGACAAACACAGAGACACACAGCCAGATACGCAGTGAGAGGCCTTGGAACACTCAGACCTAAATGGGACATCTCCATCAGGTCCCTCCCCTCAGGGCTCAGGGAACCTTTCAGAAGAGGAAGCAGAGTAAGAACCAGAAGGGATGGAGGACACCAAGAAAACAAGACCTCTAAGTCAACCAGATCAACTCACATATGAACTCACAGAAGCTGAGGCAGCAAGCACAGGGCCTGAATGAGTCTCAGGATACAATTATCTGACGGGGAAATCTATTCTCAATAAAATGGAAACAGAATTATATTAAGTCTATATTTGGACAAGTAGGTATGCCTAATTACATTTCTCCTCCCTTTTCCCCTCCAAGCTCCTTTCTTCCCACTTCTCCTCCCATATGGACCCACCCCTTTCTGTCACTAGAGGCAAGCCTCTAAGGTATAATTAAATAATAGTAGCTTTTTTTTTTTTTTAAGTGCCACCAAGAGACCTGGGTTTTACACCTACTCTGTCTAAATCTCTATGACTATGCGCAAGGTGCCTGCCTGATAAGGAAACACACTTCTTTGTTGGGGAAGGGGATGCTGATGTCTCTGTTCACTGGGGCAGGGAATAGAACTGATGTGTCCTGTCTGAGAGAACTCTTTCCTGCCCTGGTATCCCAACACCTTCAGAAATCACATCAGTTCCTAGCACAATGAGACAAAAGGCACCCCATTCTTCCATGTCTGCCATTGGACACTTGGCCAGACTAGTTATACTTCAAGGAAAAGTGTCTCAGGAGAGCACTGACCACTATCACCCTTAATGAAATACCAGAACCCTGGGCCAGTGGAATTCATCTGATCCCCACTCCATGGCTCAAGAATCTAAAATCTAAGAAATTAACGGAAGTTTTCCCATATCCATGATACTCAGCACACCTAAGAGGTAATGTAAAAGGATTTTTTTTAAGGGAGGCGGGGGAGGGGGGGAATCTCAATCTCTCAAGCACATAAACTTCACAGTGAATGGTGAAAGCCTAAGACACAAACAGCATGCTCACAGCCAAGACACCTGCTCAGAGCCAAGACAAGTGGGCAGCCAAGAAGCACTTCACACTGCAAACAGTAGAGGGAGGGGCCCCTCGGCGGGATGGAAATTGTGAGAATGGAGACAGCACTGAGAAGCAGGGAGCAGCTTCGAAGGAGCCTAGGGGCACATGCAGCACTGGAAAAGAGCCACGAGCCTGCTCCAGGGAAAGAAGAATAAAGAGAGAGAACAGAATGGAAAAGGTCTGTGTAGTTGTATTGAAATGAGAAAAATCACTTTATACCATTTAGTTATGTATATAAGAAAACCAATGCCAGATGCTAATTCCACCGGATGGAAGGCTCTTAGGAACAGGGCTATTACA